ACGGTGCATATTGACTGACAACAATTTCTTAGATTTCTATTAAAACTACACCTTCTTCAATTCTTCTCAAATTCTAAGATATCCTACTTTTTACTTGTAAACCTTTCATAACATCGCTAGTGCATATACTTTTCATAAGAATATATAAAAAATGTTTAGGAGTTTAGCGTTTTCAAATCTTTAATTTATCTATTCATTTATTTATTTTTTTTATTTTTGTATGTTTGTATGTTGTTTAACGTCCCTTTCAAGAATTTTTCACTCATATGGAGAAGCCATCATTTGCCATTGTAGAGCGGCAAATTTTGTCCTATACTCGGCACTCAGGGCCTCTGAACAGTGTGGGATCTTTTTCGTGCCATCACCTACTGCGACACGGGACCTCGGTTTTTATGGTCTCATCCGAAGGACCGGTCTCCAAGTCCCACAATGGGATTTGAACCCGCGACTCTAGAGCAGACGCTCTTTCCACTGCGCCACCCGGGCGACGATCGTTTCATTTAAAAGGCAGACCTGTTACATTTATGTATCGCATATCCTTCTCACATAAACAACTTCGTGTATTTATATACAAAAATATACAAAATAATCAATCGACTCATGTCACTCTAGATATTGTTTAAATACTTATCCATGAATAAGACAGACTTTGGTATGAAGCAAATCAATTATTTTGATCACTATGTTTTGTGTATGAAGATTAAATAAAATCACAGCTTATTCAATGAAATTGGTGAAGATAACGAACAGTGATTGAATGTTACTCATAAATGAGGAAAGTTGACATTTGAAAGAGTTGAACATCTCGTTTGTCTTACAGATTAGTTTATCAGTTGACCCTAATTATCTATTACCAGTAAACCATTCAAATATGAAACGTATATGGCAGACTCTGTGGTGTTTTGATATTGATACGGTGAATATTGACCAAAATAATATCTATAAATGTATTCTTTTGAAATCCTTTGAAATATAAACGTTTAGAAATCATATCGACCACGAAGTGAGAGGTAGGTATGGTTTTCTTTAAGGTCTTTTTTATCCAGGCATTGTATCAAATCTGAAGGATATTTTTTGGTATCTCTTTATATATCTGAAATATATTATTTAGTGGAATGTACTTTATATAAAAATCAATATTAGGAGATATGTTGGTGAATTTTAAATTGATGTCAAAATGTGTTGGTTTCTCCCATAGAGGTCAGGGTGGGTTTTAGTTGACCTGGCTGTTTTCTAATCCCTCAAATGTAGCTTGAACTCTTACAGGTCCTAAAGTAGCTCCTTAGTCGTCCTACTTCCTTCTTTATGCAGAACTTGAATTATCTGTAATTGTTTATTAATCTCACCACAAACACCTGTATCATGTATTAAGGAATGTTAGCCAAAACACATTCCAAATTGTCACAAATAGATGTCCGTTCTTGGGTGTAACATGATTTAGCTGTCCAAAGATATAACAAGATTTAACTTTCTAATATAGTCTTAAGGTATAAGTAAATATAGGAGTCCGTCAGTTCTTAGACATAACTAGATTTAGCTGTCCACAAGTCCATAGGTATTACAAGATTTAGCATTCTACTAGTCCTAAGGCATAACAAATGATAGGTGTCCACTATTTCTAAAGTATTAGTAGAATTACATTGTAGGAGTTCACTAGTTCTAAGGTATAACAAGATTTAGCTTTCTACAAGTTCTAAGTTATTACCAAATATAGGTATGCACTATTTCTACAGTATAAGTAGATTTAGCTGTCCACTAGTCCTAAGATATAATTAGATTCACGTCTTTGCTAGTCCTTATGTATAACAACATTTAGGTGACCATGAATCCTAAGGTAAAATTAAATATGAGTGTCCACTTTTTCTAAGGTATAGGCAGATTTAGGTGTTTACTACTCCTAAGGTATAATTATATTTCGGTCTCCACTAGACCTGAGGTGTCAGTAGATTTCGGTCTGCACTAGTCCTGAGGCATATTTATTTTCCGTTTACTTGATCGATACATAGCGATCACAGTAGTTGTGACCGGTCAACAGTAGCTGCTTATTTCTCCTAGGTACCTGGTCCCAACTCTGGAATTTCCAGGGGTCCGTGTTTGTGTCTTTTGTACAGAGTATATATTGTATGAAGTATATTTGAGATCGAAAACTATTATTTATCTTTACCTTTTTTCAATATAAAGTTCTAGATTTAGGTCTTTACTAGTCCTTAGGAATCATCCAGTTGTTGGTTTGGTTTGAACATATTTTATTGTCTATAAACTTTACAACTGGGATTGGGCAAAAGTTCTTAAAACTTAATACGCCCTCTCCCTACATATGAATTATACCAAACATATTTACATATATGGGTTTCAGCTTAAAATGAATAAAATACAGAAAAGCATAATAATCAGAGAAACATTATACAATACACAAGCTGTATAGAATTTGCAAGAAGTAATTATTGCATCAACCAAAACGACCTGACTTTTTAATAAATGTTTGTACAATAGAAAATAAGTATTCATTTTCAACATCGTTTAACGTTTCATCTCCCCAGAGTAATGTATGAGTATCGACAGTATGTAATTTTCCCATTCGCAGAAATTTATCAAAAAATTCTTTTCTGGCTTCTGTATATTTTTTGCACGAGAAGAAATAATGATGAGTGTCCTCCACTCTTCCACAGGAACATAAAGGACTCAAAATTATATTACATCGAAAAAGATCGCAATTAAGTACACAGTTGTGTCGAAGCCTTGTATGTAATATATTTAAGCGTCGATTTCCGTAACTGAAGTAAGAGGGTGGCATAGTTTTATTATAAGAAATAGATTTTTTTAAAATAGATAATGAGGAAGAATTTCTTACAACAAGAGGTAATGAGTTCCATTCATCAATAACAAGGGGAATGAAAGTTGACTTATAGGTTTGTAATCTGCATTTGGGTATGTTATAGTTATGTGCATTTCTCGTACTGTAACTTGATGAATTACAACGCAAATCTGGGATTATATCAGTCAGATACTCAGGAACTTGATTATTATAAATTTTGTACATTGTAGTTAATCTAGTATTTTTCCTTCTTTCATGTAATGGTTCCCATCCAGTTTCAAAATAAAGTGCATCTTTAGAAGATAGTTTATTAATATTGTTTTTTTTCACTGACTCATCTATTCTACAATAATTTAATTCTGATTGTAACACGCCTTTTGATTGGATAAAAAAAATTTACTTTATATCGTATAAATTGGGTTTCCTACGTCACAATGACTTACGTCAAAAACGTATCGATCCGCCTGACTTTACATTTAAATTTTGTACAATATGAAGTCAATTTTTAAGAGCAATCATCTTTTTTCTTACAGTGAATGAATGAAGATTAAATTATAAGGAATGAATTTAATAACTACCCAATTTATACGGTATAAAGTGGGTTGGAATAGTTTACGCTTTTTTATAAACCGCTTCGCGGTTTATAAAGCGTAAACTGCCCCAACCAACTTTATACCGTATAAATTGGGTAGCTATTAAAAATCATTCCCTAATTGTTTCATAATTGATGCATTACAAAGCCTTATTTGTTATAGTTTGAAAATCTGAGATATACCTCTCATGCCTTGGAACTTTTCACATTTATGAAAGAGTAGCTCTTGGATCATATTTTAAAATTCCAGCAAATAGTCTTCTATGACTAAGCTCATCCAGAAAGGACAAAAGAGCATATTTCAAAAACCAAGCCACAATATTTAAATTGGTCAATAATCCGGACTAGATGTACCAAATTAATGAGAAAAAAGATAAAAAGCATTAGACGACTGTTATCAATTGAAAACTTTCCTGTTAGACTTTTGTTATCAAATGATAAACAAGTGCAGAGATGGCTTGATTTTTTTTTACTAATTTCTTCTAAATATATTCTCATGACCAGTGAAACATATTCTTTCTCTTGGTATTGATATCGTTGTTATCTCTGAAGTGATTCCAGTATCGTTCTATTGATTACCAACCAAAAACATCATATATATTAAATTTAAAAAAAAAAAATTAAAAATTTTTTTTTAGAATGTACATAATCTATCTATGTAAATTGTATAAACTCCTTCTCATTAATAAATGCTCAAAATTGTTTTGAAAAAAAGAAGGCCCTATGTGCCACCTCATGGTAAATAAACAGACAAGTAGCAACGTGGGGTGGGGTGGGGTGGGGGCTGCGCTACACCAATTTTTTCCAAACATAAATTTTTACTATTGCAAATGTTCATTGAAAGGCCGGTTGCCCCCCCCCCCCCCCCCTTGTTGCAGAATAGTCAAAGAAGGGTAAGTGGTAGCCTATGAAAAAAAATAGCACTGAAAGAAGTTCGACGTCCCTCGGATTTGGACAGTTTTCTTTTTTTTTTTTATTTATTTATTCATTTTTTTTTTTTGCTTGTCAGTTTTATTTTTGCCCATCCCCCTCCCTTCAAAATCGATGCCACGTCCCTAATAAAGAACTTTACTTAGTTAAAAAAAAGTTTGTATTATTTCATTTGACAATTTAAATGTATGATTAAATCTAATGAAATCAACATGCCTTATTGAAAACAAACATATTTTTCAATAACACAAATCATTCAAAATTCTTACATGTAAAAGACTTAGATGCACTTTGTTTGCTCTGCTCCAAATTTGTATTGTTTTATCGGACTTTCGAGATTGAATACTTTTCGTTATTAATTTTCATATTTCATGTGATCAATTTTTCTAAACTATGGTACAAGTTACTCACCCAATATAATATTGTTGATATTGTGCAGATATCCGATGGTCTTGGTCTTAAATTCAACTCAGGAGTTTTGCTCCCTCATGTCATTATAACAACGCCAATTGCGTATCTGCACTTTGATTTGATTCGTCGAGAAACATTTATTTAAAAAACATGATTACCCTCTGAATGATGAAATCATGACCTCCAGAGAGAACCTAGGAAAAGTCAACATTCAGTATAATTTCATTATAAAGGATTAATGATACATTAACTCTAGTTTTTGTATCTAATCATCATCACAGTCTTTTTCAACGCTTCATCATACTTCCAGTGTTCCCATACCGGGTATTCCCAACCAGACAAAGCAGACTGGGCGTACTGTCCGTTAAGATTTGAGTGGAGACAGTTTTTGTACCACCAGGCTCCGTGCCGTAATATAGAACAGCTACCATCACTCTTGATGTCATTGTCCTGATCCTTAGTACTGAATCTCATACCGTTATGATAAGTCAAACTGTCACCTGAAACAGAGAATTGATTCTTGTAATCATCTTCATCCTGGTCTTTAGTGGTGATAGTTATCCCAAGCCAAACTACCACCTGTCAAAGGGTATCTAGACAACATTCAAGTCTACTAATTAATACTAGTAAATGTTTATCGTAACACAATGTCCTCCACCGTAGTGGTCATTGTCCAGATCTTTAGAAGTAAATGTTTTACCGTGTAATGGTCACTCTGTGAACTGTTTGGATATTGATAATAATTAAATGATATATTACGGCAAGAAAAACACATCTAAAATATAAATGTGTACGGATGCTTCTGATGAGGCGATAGTGGTGTGCTTGGTTTAAAGAAGGGGAGATTGCAATGAAATCATTCATGGGTTTAAATATGAAAAGCCAGTTTATTATTTGTCAAACTAACTAAGCGATACTCAGACGAGATGGTCAACAGTAGAAAAAGAAGCGTACGCAATTTATTATGCTTTACAGAAACTAGACAACTACTTACACTATGCAAAGTTTGTAATAAGGATAGATCATAAACCGTTGAAATACTAATTGCAAGTACCAATGAAAAAGAAAAAGATGCAGCTCTGGACTTTGAGTATAGCGGGTTACAATAATAATTGTAAAGTAAAATACGCTAGTTAAGAAATTGATAGACCAGATCTTATTTTCAAAAATAACCTTATAATTTTAAAGGAGAAAATGGAAATTTGGCTATAGAACTAAATAAAGATCCAAAAATCCCTTATATCAAAATTACCATCTTAGAAGGAAAAGCCGATAAAGAATATTAAGAAATTATATGCCAATAAATGATGTCGTATATTTTCTGTCAAACATGGAACATGATCCTATCATACGTTTGTACTTACCTCAACATTGAAGAGACGGTGTTATTTAACAATATTATGATGAAATTGAGCGTATGGGAATAGAAAAGAAATTAGATTCTATTAGGCAAAATTATATAACTGACCAGACTTGTATTAAGAAATTTACAGTTTCGTGACACAGTGTGTTACTTATTCGATAAGGTCCTTAAAGAAGTTAAAACCACCATTTCAAGAGACAAACATACCTCCATATGCATTTGCAAATATTTGATTAGATTTGTCGGGTCCACACCCTCACTCTTAATCAGGGAACAAATATATTGTGGGGTTTGTCGATTTAGGGGTTGGCCTGAAGCCTTTGCTGTGCAGGATAAAATAGCAGAAACGATTGCTCGTTTGATTTTAGAATTTTTTCCAAGACATTGGGTGCCTTTGTAATTAGTCACTGGGACATAAAGGGACAGAAAATGAAAACAAGGTTGTCAAAGAAACCTTACAAGAACCTTAAATCTCACAGTTACTACATCGTATTACCATACAAATTAACGAAATCTTGAGCGATTCCATCGCACAATGCATGATGTTTTGTCCAATATATTACAAGACAACCTGACAACATGGGACATACCCCTCAATCAGAGACTCGCTTTCATATCAATGAACATTTTAAATTTTCGCTATTTTTTTGGAGTTTACAAAAGAGTTGATGTTTTACCCATTGATAAGATTTTGAAACCTGTACATGCAAGGGTGAAGGCCTTCGTAAAAGAGCGCTTCAAGAACATCACCAAATTTCATGCACTCATAGAATAACGACAAAAGTAAAACAACAACAAACGAAATATGCAAATAAAAACACAGTACACGAAGAAATAAAAGTGGGACATCCAGTTTATCACAAAAATTACCAAAAGCAAAGTAAATTGCAATGTAACTGGAAACCTTTTTATCGTGTTATTGAACAAACTACACCAGTGACATTCAAAATTAAAAATCAGTTGGGCGGACGGTTTTGTGAAAACACGAAATACTCTCTTGCGATTGGCAAAGGTAGATTGGGAAATTCTAAAATAGGAAGACGGTACACCTATAAGAAATGCAGCGTATGCAATACCTCCTGAAAGTGAAGAAACAGACGAAGATAACAAAAATGTACCTGACATCGATGATCCCAGTGAGAGAACATTATAAGCTAGACTTGCTAATAAATTTAGAAAGGAAAAGACGATTGGTTTTATGAAGACGACATTAATTGATGGGAATTGTCTAAGCGCCTAAAACAACGTTAACAGACTAAACCTGGACAAGATATTGATTTTGAGGAAATGACATTGAGATTGAACAATATGTTGAGGAAATGGACATTTATGAATGTTATATACCAAAGTCTCAAACACAGATATAAAAGCAATGTTAAACACTTAAATTGTTACTTTAAGCAATTTTACGAAACGAGTATCATCACATAATACTAGTGCTACAGTAAATTGGGTGTCTGGGTATATGGGTATTTTCTGAACTAGTTCTTAATGGACAGTAAAGTGAGATTTAATGTTTAAAAAAATTAAATAGACGTATAAAATATGAAAAAAGGTCTAGTATTAAGCTACGTAATGTGTCTGAGTATGACATTATTAGATGAAAAAATCTAACCTAGAATAAATTTGAGACTTGATCAAATATTTGCATGGTTGCTTTCTCTCTTGTTGTGGAATTTTGAAACCTCTTTGTGATTAATCTAATCATTTTCAGTACAAAAATGCGATACATTTTTAATGATCATGGAAGTAGTGCTATTAAAAAGTCACGTCCTTATTTGTGATTTCAGGTTGACACTTTCTTCACACTTCTTCGAATCAATTTAATATTTCAACATTACAATTTCATGTGATCCTCTTAATTCAATTAATAATATACTTATACAGTAATCAAAATATAACAAAGAAAATATTCCCATAATTGAGAGTTGTTGACAGACATGAGTATATACTTTCTCCTGGGAATAAAAGTTCTATTATCATAAGGTAAAGAATTGTATTGTATGTATGAAAGGTCAAGGTCAAAAATGTATTCGTTGTCTTGAAAGAAAAGATTTATATATAATATTTCAGCCAATACTTCCAGAATGACAGAATCTAGAAGGCAATAGACTGACCACACTGAGAGTTCCATCTGTACTAGGAATCAATTTTAGTTGGAAGGGGGGGGGGCACCCATAAATTTTCAGTTGGAGGCACAATCAACTACCAAAAATTCCTTGACAAGCAAAAAAAACAAAAAAACAAAAACAAAACAAAACAATAAAAGGTCATCAGACGTTATTATTGAGGGGGCACAAGCGTATAACAGCTATGTTTTTTTTATAGTATTCTATATATCGGCAAAATCATTGGGTGGGCACGGCCCCCGTTGCCACCACCTCCCCCGGTTCCTACGGCCATGAATAAGTATTGAAAATGAAAATAACAAGAAGACAATTTTGTTGACCAAAAAAAAATATCAAGCTACAATGGTTCTTATGAAGCAGAGACAAAAAATCCACCATACATACGCTGATGATAAACAGGCACAATATATCAAGACCATGTATACAAGTATCGGACTCGACAGAGAACATTACCGTATCATATAAGGAGGTGTGAGACAGAACTTCGGTTAGGGGCAACTATATCAATCTAAATGAAGTGACAATCTAAATTACTAATTGCTATTACCAAAGATGATATCCTTATGATGTAGTTTCTGATACAAAAGATGTGCGCACTGAATATCCATAGCTTTTTAAGAACTTAGCTCGTAGACAAATTTTGAGAACTTTCACATCTTAGATCTAAGACTGACTATGCTGTACGGAACATATAAGAAAAATCTTTCAAACTCTTCTGAAGAACTACTGGACCAGAAGAGTTGCTATTTACGTGAAAGCTTCACTACATAGCGTACATTCAAATTGTTCAAATTTGTTCCAAGATCCCAGGGTTAGGATGGGGCCGCAGCGGGCGATCAAAGATTTACATAGAGATAGATACAGAAAATATTACAAAATCTTTATTCTCAAGAACAACAAGCCCATGAAAAGTGATCATCATATAAATTATTGAATGGGACGTAGACAACATACAGTCAATCAATCAATCAATGGCCCTGGATGCCAACTATAGGTCTAAATTTATAGCCCTTCTTGGGTATATGGTGACGTCTCTAGATGAGTGAAAACTTCTTGAATAGGACGTTAAACAACATACAATCAATAAATCAAATTATGATTCCCGGGTCTAGGTTGGGACCACAATGGGTGATCAAAGCTTTACATAGGAACGAATTGGAAAAATTATTTAAAATATTCTTCTCGAGCAGTGTTTAGTCATATTTATATGGATGCATTGTAATGTTCATTCATGTAACATGTACCGATATACGACAATATGTGCAGTGAGGGTAGGTACACATTGTCGCCGGTGACAATATGAACAGGAAGACAATATGTACCATCTCTATCGCGCTGCATGAATTAGTATATGCAACACGTCAGTATGATTCACACACTAATTACATTCACAAAAAACGACACCAAAATCTTTAAGAAACAATATCTGTTGGCGACAATATATGCAGTGTGCGTAGATTATTTAATGTCGCCAGCGACAATATGTACATGCGTAAATTTTCAGCCGGCGACAATGTGTACAAATCGACTATAATATGTGCAGTGAGAGAAGGTGTATAATGTCGTCGACGACGATACATGTATGTTAAAGAACAACACAATGTACCCTCACATGCCTATACAATATGTACAGTCCAAATCTGAACAATCTGTACCGTCAAATACCTGTACAATACCTTGATCCCATTACTAGTATATTAATTGGAGGATCCAGATACTCACCCGCTGTTCCATTGTACCCAGAAACTGTAAGCATATATTTATTGTTTTCATCTCCGATGTAGAATGTGGAATACACTGCATAGGCCTGTTCTCCATTATGTCTCTGGAGATCAATTCGAAGTTCCTGGTTTTTATCCCTTGCTAGGGCGTGGATGACGTCATTTCCTATATATATATATATATATATATATATATATATATATATATATATATATATATATATATATATATATATATATATGTCGACAGAAAATACGATTGAAACACGATATCGTTTTAATATTTCCCATATTACTTTGTCAAAAATATTGAACTTGTCAAGTGAACTGGACATTGATACATGTACATTCTTCTTTTGATATCAAAATCCAAATTAATCAAGTTTTACGATTAAAATAAAACATAAGATCATGCCTATCCAATAGTTCTTAGTGACAGTCCCAAATCCGTCTTTATACTCTATCCATGTTCTGTAAAAATCCATCTCACCATCCTGGCGTTTCTGAATGACCTGTAGAAAATCCTAGATAATTCATTTTATAGCTTCTTTTAAAAATAAACACCGACCACTATCATAATGTTACGTTCTTCTTAATTATCTGTAAAGTTTATAGCTAGATGTTTGCCAACATATTTTTATTGACATGTGTAAAATGGTTTAGGAACCAATTCTAAAACAAAAACTTGTATTTAGTTTCCTCGTTTTTTTCTCTACCCGTAAGTACAGTTAAGTCCCCGAAGTACAGATTAAAGTTCAACTGCCCTTTATTGTTATGCCATGGTTCGTCCCTCAATGTTTGGTTAATGTTAAAATCAAGAATTATGGTTGTGTTTCGAATGCCATTCCTTATTTGCTGTGAAACGGGTTTTTAGTTACACAGAGCAATAAACATAATGCCATCATGATAATATTTTATTTAATTTGTTTCCATGATAAGCTCTAACATCTAAAATTGTCTTAGATTTTCTACAGTTGAAGTTGAAATAGCTAATAAAAAGAAATTTTATTGAGTATTTGGCAATTATTCAAAAATTGAATCACTACTCACCGTCCACCCTCCTCCGCCTGTCGTCATGTCACAGAAGACCTCTCTACGGGTGTCGGGATAAATAACGTACACTCCATCTTGTCCTTTCTTGCTTTGGTCTCTTTTCACAATATCTGAACAGTCTTTGTATATTTTTTCTATTCAGATAAAAAAAGTAAAAGAAGTTCAATAACTGATTGCATTACACATGTTTTAAAACATATACATTGTAGTTCATTTGAGATTTATAAATTTTATTTAGTGTTTGTTGATTCATAATCGAATGCTCTTTAAACCTGAATATTTTATTTTTGGGCCTTTTACAATATTATTACAGAAACTGAAGCTATAGCAGTTACAATCGGGAGAGTTAAATATCTAGTCATAAGCCATGGTAAAATAAACTCAATTAGGAATTAATTAAAAATCTTTCCTTACTTATGTAGCAATATACCCTTACCACCATATGGGGTTTATGCCTCTTAGTTGATTCGGTAAGCAAGATCATGCTCTATTTCAGAATCATTTCTAACAGTTTTGTTTGTAGTCATCATTTCGCAAGTTCCATGTTCGATACAATGATCTTGTCAGCAAATATAACCCATTATTAAGTCAAATGCTGACTGACGTTTCACATACAAATTGTTTGGCCATTATTTACGCATTCAATTGTCTACGGATTTTTTTCCCGGTATTTCCCGATCATGACAATGAGCACACGTTGGGTGTGACCAGATGGCAGGGGATGCTCACTCCTCATTGGCACCAGATCTTTATATCTTTCAAAAACCGATTGTTGTTTTTCAATCAAAAATTACAATGACTAAATAAGTAATGCTCGGTTTTTTGTAATTTTTGATATTTCAGAGCAAGTGTCGAAGGTTAATTTTCACATGGCTCTTGTACCGATGTGATAAACAAGTCGAAAGAAAGGGGGAGGCACTTTCGTCCCTTTTACATGTATATGAATAATTTGCACACATCTAAATAGAAAACATTAAATGTTAATCGTTGGTTGTTTTTCCAGGGAAGCGATTGCATTCATTGCAGGTAAATAAATAACTGTTCAAGCGGATTTTCTATTTTTTCCAGAATTGTTGTAACCAATAATTTCCGAATGAAGAAAAAAGTATTTCATTGTTTCAGTGAGAGAGATTAATGTTTTTTTCACTGTACAACCATCTAAGTAAATTTTTATTGTCTTCTTTTTAAACTTATCTTGACTAATTTGATAGATAAATAGAATGTAAAAATGAACAAGGAATATAAAAAAAAAAATGAAGACCCCATTCCAATTTACCGTTTTTATGTGATTAAAGTATTTTTCAATGTTTTTATTATTACATGCGACATACAAAACATTCATTCTCATACAAACAAACAACAGAAACAGGAAGATTACAATCTTTATCAATCAACCAAGTTGATGAAACAAGAATATCAGCTGTCTCGCTTAAAGTCATCATTTCGTAAGTTCTATGGTCGATACAATGACCTTGTCAGCAAATACAATTTATCATTGAGTCAAATGCTGACTGACGTTTTTCATACTAATTGTTAGGCCATTATCTACACACTGAATTGTCGACGGATTTTTCCGTTATTTCCCGATCATGACAAGGAGCACACGGCGAGTGTGACCGGTCGGCAGGGGATGCTCACTCCTCCATGGCACCTGATCCCACCTCTGATGTTTGAAGGTCCGTGTTTGCTCTGCTCCTATTTTGTATTGTATAATGGACTTTTGAGCTTGAATACTGTTCGTTATCTCCATATATTTCATAAAATAATCTTTTATATATATATCTTTTCTAAATAAAGAAAGTGTAATTTAAGCTTAATAAATTTAAAAGACATGTCCTACAGTAAATTTAATTATTATTATTATTTAATTAACGTTATAGCTTACCTTTTAAAACAGGAACACATTTCCCAGCAATACATATTTCATCCTCAGTACAGGAATGATTCAGACAATTTCCCGCCAAATGCTGAAGTTAAATAAACTCAGAGTTACGATTACCTAAATATTTTATTGAATTCATTCTCATTTAAATGTTTCAAGATCTCCTCCTTACCGTTGGGAATATCTCCCGTTCGACATGAAAGGTGTGGCCTTTAGTCATTAGACTTCCACCATTCTTGATGGCAAATCTTGTGTTTAGTCGGCATGTCTTTTCTTCTTTTATCCAATCCACTGAGCGACACAACTTAAACTTGAAACAAACTGTCATGCACATTGAAATGTCAGCATTTTTCCAAAGGTAAAAACCAGGCATTGAGGAATTTTCATAATTGCTAATGAGCAAAGTTTTGGGGTCAAATGCGTCGAAGCATTGCGAATAGCATGTCTGTAACAGACCTAGAACTTGTCCAAAACGGTAAAGACCGATCATCGTCACACGATTACCGATTTTTTAACATTTCAAATTTTAGTTTCGTTGGGTTCTACTAGGGCATTTATCTGTTTATCTGAGACATATATAGAAGTCGTTAAGGTCTGTCTATTTCTGATTGATGAGGTCTCCCATGATAGTTAATTTATAGTAGTATTGTTCAATAATCAAAACACAAATGGTTTGAGTAAATTAGTTCAAGTTTATAAAATTTTCATGAATAACCGAAACATCAATATTTTTTTTCTCTTCATATTCATTAAAATAATTTTTTTAAAAAATTACTTGGTAGTATTTCAGTTTTAATACTATTTAATGTCATCTAGTTCTGGGGTATGCAAAATACCTTTGAGAGAACGATTGGAATATAATAGAAATGTGAATTTTCTAAGGAAAAAAAATCTCTTTTTATTTGATTTATGTTTTATTGAAATAAGATAAACCGTATAATGCTTATCAATTTAAGTATACTGATGGGTTTCCAATAATTTATTGTGATCCTTCTTAAAGCTATTGTTCTACAATCTTATATAAATACAGTGAGATTTAATGCAGTATAAATTATGATAAATGTTATATTAATACCTTCTCTGTCTTATTTCTTAAAATCATAGCCTTATTACACATTTGCATATGTTGAATATTATGAACGAAACAGATAAATAATTTTATCATATTCCACATATGCAAAACCTATACATATTACCAGTACTTTTCATTATGTACCAAAATAATTCCTAAATATCATTCATTATAATATGGACATGAAAATAAAATATCATGATTGTCACATACCCTAATTAAGGATCTGAAAAGGAGATGTTGTAAAAGAGCAATTGACTAACATTAGGTTCACATCAATCTGTCATCAATAATGACATCATATAATATTCAATAAAAATTACATACCGAGAAGCTTAAAACTCATGGCTGTAGGAAGCGGGGGATACATAGAACACTATAGAAAACTAGCTACTTGTGCTTGTGCCCCTCTATAAAAACGTCTGATGACCTTTTTTGGCTTATCAAGGTATTTTGGTAGTTGACAAGGTGTCCCGGCAACGGAAAATGTATGGCTGTGCCCCCCCCCCCCTTCAAACTGAAATTTATTTCTACGAGCCTGAAACTACAGTCAAGTGAAACAAATTTTACAATATCGTTCTTACACTAAATATATGTGATTTACAATAAGGCCTGAACTGTACTACAGCTAAAGTTTGCGGTGACTTGACGTCATATTCCTTAATGTACATTAATATTTTAACATACACGAAGACAATCTTTGAGTCTCTTTTAAGTTTTTATGATCTGACTTCTAAAGAAGTTTGGGAATATCTAATGTTATTAGATAGAAATTATTTCTTAATCAATTAGAAATATTTCTTTTGTATCTAGGCCAATGTTCTTTGTTTTTTTTTTTTTTTTTTTTTTTTTTTTTTTTTTTTTTTTTGCAAAACTCTTTTATTTCGTGAAGCATGAAACAATTCTAAATTATTCAGATACTTGAGTTCCATACAAGAAAGATCAATCAATGACGTTATTTACAAATTTTTTGAGAATAAGAAAATGAAATGAGAAACTTTTATAGGTAATAGCATCATCTTGTTAAAATTATGTGTTTTCAGGTGTTCATTAACTTGAGAATTATGCAGAGTTTATTCTATGAGTCCTGATGGAGATGATTGACTAATTGCTCGCTCAAGAATCGGTAGTAAAGACACACAAGGGCGGCTATCGACTTTGACGGAATCAGCAGCCGCCGAAAGGAGGACGATTCTTCAAGTAGGATTTAAAAACAACAACAACAACAACAAAATAAATTAAATTAAATTATAATATATAAAATTATATTAAATTATTACATATTAAATCATAATAATTATAAAGGGAGTGATGGTTCCCTTTGTAGGATTTGAAATACCATACAAAAAACAAAGGAGGGATAATTCTTCTAATAGGATTTTAAGACAACAAACAAAGGAATTTTAAGACTCCCAAATAAAAAAAATAAAGTGAGAGATGGTTCTTTTAGTAGGATTTAAAGACACCAAACAAAAGGAGGCATGGATCTCCTGGTAAAATTTGAAGACAAGAAACAAAAATAAAAGGAGAGTTTGTTTTCCTAGTAGAGTTTTAAATCAGCTTTGAAAAACAAAGGGAAGGATGGATCTCCTGGTAGGATTTTAAGACACCAAACAAAAGCAAAGAGAGGGATAATTTTTCTAATAGGATTTTAAGAAAGCAACGTTGAGAGATAGTTCTCTCAGTAGAATTTTAAGACACCAAACAAAAATAAAGGGAAGGGAAATTCTTCGGTAGGATTTTAAGACATCAAAGAAAACAGAGTTGAGAGATAGTTCTCTCAGTAGGATTTTAAGGCACCAAACAAAAACAGAGAGAGGAATGGTTCACTCAGTAGGATTTTAATATAACAAGCAAAAACAAAGGGAGGGGTGTTTCTCCTAGTTGGATTTTAAGACTCCAAAATAAAAAAAATAAAGTGAGAGCTGGTTCTTTTAGTAGGATTTTGAGACACCTAACAAAACCAAAGTTAGGGATAATTTTTCTAATAGGATTTTAAGACATCAAAGAAAAAAGGGTTAAGAGTTAGTTCTCTCAGTAGGATTATAAGACACCCAACAAGAACTAAGAGAGGAATGGTTCTCTTAGTAGGATTTTAAGACATCAAACAAAAACAAAGTGAGGGATTGTTCTCCTAGTATAGATTTTAAGACATAGAACCAAGATATGGATGGTTCTATCAGTAGGATTTTAAGGCACCAAACAAAAACAAAGGGAGGAATGGTTCTATTAGTAGGATTTAAAAGTCACCCAACAAAAAGAAAGGGAGGGATGGTTCTCCTAGTAGGATTTTAAGACACCAAACAAAGGGATGTTTTTCTTAGTAGGATTTTAAGACACCAAACAAAGGGATGTTTTTCCTAATAGGATGTTAAGACTCCAAAACAAAAAAAAAAATAAAGTGAGAGATGGTTCTTTTAGTAGGATTTTGAGACACCAAACAAAAACAAAGAGAGGGATTGCCCTTCAAGTATAGTAGAATTTTAAATCAGCTTAAAAAAATCAAATGGAAGGGTGGATCTCCTGGTAGGATTTTAAGACACCAAACAAAAGCAAAGGGAGGGATAATTCTTCTAATAGGATTTTAAGACATCAAAGAAAACAACGTTGAGAGATAGTTCTCTCAGTAGGATTTTTAAACATCGAAAAAAAAAAAAAAAACAAAGGGTGGGATGGTTCTCTTAGTGGGATTTTAAGACACCAAACAATAACAAATGGCTTTCATTTTACCTATTTTGCTTTAGGTTTAAAACCATAAAAGATTGTAGTTTGTCTAGAAATCTAATTTTATTGAAAATGCTTGCAGGCTAAAATAGATTATAGTAATTTATCATAGAGCATTAAAAAAAAGAAAGCAAGAACTAAAAAATCTGCTATTGCAAGCAATACCGTAGGTCACCCCTCACTGAATCGAAAGCTGTAAGATTGTAAATGCTTAAAGAAGTGTGTATAAGTAGACACCCCCTCCTTTCACACATAAGTTTTACAAGGTAGTGTCTAGAAGAAAATTGTTATGGAGAGATCTGATTGGTTTAAATTAAAACTATTATAATTTTTTCTCCGATATCATAGGATAACAAGGGGGTCTTCGGTTGAAGACGAAAGACCTTAAAAAAAGAATGCGAGGTTCACGTCAAAACATGGCTGAAGCAAAATAATTCCTCAATTTACCTCTTCAAATCGGGCATTTTTACCTAAGATAGGGGCTATTTTTTTTATAAGTATGTGTAATTTTTTTTAGTTATCAGAATCATGAACATACATTCCCGGCGTGATAAACAGTATTGATGAGGCCAACAAACACGTACGGGAGCGGATTCCATTTTAAATCAATAAAAATGATGGAAATTTAATTTTAATTCTTCTAACTGTCATTGAATGAAATTATTCATATTCAAATAATATATTAATATTAAGATAATTTTATGGTAAATAAAATTATTATAAATTCTATAGACAAAACAGAAGACTGAATGCTGCCAAAATATCAGATCAAGTCAGCGGAACTATGTTTTGTAAGAAAATCAAAATTTTAAATTAAGAAAAAAAATTACAGACTTTTTTCCGTAAGGTTATAAGGTTTTGCCGAAAGGTCCGCCCCTCCATAGTGCATAGTATGCAGTCTAGACAGCGACGTCACTGAAATTCGTTAAACCGAGTTGTTTTTCTCTAAAACATAGTCTGCTTTATTAAAAGCCGAATAAATTTGTTTTTATAGAGTTCCCATATGAAATATCAATTAGTACAGGTTGTTAAAAAGTCGGCAGTTTCCGCTGATTCAGTCAATAAATGACCTCACATGTCGGGTCTGTGACGATCGATTGCAAGTTACTTGAAAACGAAAGTACATGTAACAAGGATGCTCTCTATAAGGATGTTTTTGATTATTGGAAATGATGAAACTTCATTAACACAAGACTGATATTTAAAGATACGATTCACAAGCATCTCGTTATGCGGGAATTTGTCGCGAGATTTAAGATGGAAGAGACTCTGGAAGCCATATTGGCGACAAAGTTCTCAGAAAATCCGAATTTCTGGACCCGTTTGATTGACATGTGTCCAGTATTTTCACGAAATTACAATTTTCCTTAATGTTTTTTTTTTTTTTTTTAAATGGAACATTTGTTGTGTCTAAAAAAAAAACAAACTATAATCTAGAATATTCAGAGAATAAATGCGAGAAAGCAAAACCAACTGATCAATGTTGGCAGTTCGTGTTCACAGGACAGTGATATGTGCAGTTAGCAGAGAAG